CCACAAGTAGCGTAGTTTCTTTTGCAAGGCGATGAGAGACAACATATTCTTGCAATATTTGTGTTATATTCAAATGAAGATATTAGGGGGCTCTAGGAGGGAAAATGAAGTGAAACTAAATATTAAACGTGCATCAAAAAATTACTATCTACACTGTTTAATTCATTAGCCACTGCACCAAATGGCCTCCTTACTTGAGTAAAAGGAGCGCAAGTGATGTGCAGCCAATGAACAGCAAAAGATAGACAAAATCTTTGAGAAAGCACCATAAATTCGAAGAAATTTTATGGGATATACAGAAAAACAGTAAGAGCAAATCAGCACCAAAGCTCGAAACCGATCAAAAGCAGAAAATTTGACCCAAGATTTATGGATTTTTTAATTAATCAACATACCTATCTAGGTTTTGCAGTAAATAACAAAAGAAATGAGAGCAGGAAAACGGAGTGGCTGTGCGCTTCGCGATTGCCAGCTGTCAGCTGTTGATGTCGACTTTGTTTGACGTGCGATTCACTCCTTTGCGTGCATATACGGACCGATGGAAGGCACCACCACCCCGAACGTACTCGATCTCTAGTCATATGTCGGCACCACGACCTTTCTGCATCTCCCAAAACCCATTATTTCCCGACTGTCTGCACGCTGTTGCCGCCCAGTCCCGCCGGGCATATGCCTCCGTCACGCCGCCTACTGCTTATCAAGTTACGGCAGCAAAAAGCCGCGAGATGGGCATTTGCCGCGCTCCGAGCGGTCGTCACGACTCAAGGGGGGTTTATTACAGGCCCTGGTGCGGACGACCTTCTCTAAGTCCGTAAAAAGATCCAAACCTGACTCGCCAGCCGCCGAGTTGGCGAGTGGCAGGTTTGATGCTGGTGGTCCTCTGACGTGAAGCACGTAGGAATGACCTTCAAATTGATAGAATCTCATGCCAATCGACAAGGGGACGATAGATGGGTGGACGATCAAACAAAAGTTTCCAATGTTTCGTAATGGAAATTTCCCACTGACTCTCCCGGCGCTGTAGGCGCAGAGCAGAAGACAGTATTCATGACATGTCGTCCCAGACGTGCCGCTTTTGTCCGAGCCAAACGGTATCCTAATCATCCTGCCATATTTTTGCTACCCGGCGTCTTGAAGGTGTCCACACTTGTCCACTAGCCTATTTGGTGGAACACATCGGCTTGCAGGCTATTGCACGGGTAAGCCATCACGATGGCGGTGCGCAATAGGTAAGCTGGTGCAGATCGTCCACCAAATACGGGTAGGTGCGGTTTGAAGATCATTGTCTCAGCCGCATATGCACCATTTGTACTGCAGCTTGGGCGGTGTAGTGGGATCCGCTGTGCAGGATTTTCTTCTACTTCCATTGCTGGAAGAGTAAATTCTTCTTCAACAATAGTAGGCTTACACGGCTATACTCTTACCTTCCACGGACGATTTTCAATCGTGTATTTATAAGGCTCCGGGTCGTGACGTCGGTAACTTTGCAGTCATTGCTCACGCAGAACGGCAATAGAACTTTCTCAGTTCCCTTTTCCTGTTGAACGCTTTTTCTTACAGACGTTAGTTTACAATCAGTTGAAGCGATTTTGTGAGAGGCGGAGGTGTCTCGTGCATTTGAATCGTATAGGGTCTTGTGGGGGTCCTGCTTGAGTAATGTACGTAATCACGATCACCTCGATCTGGCTTACCCAACCAGACGACTTAGCATCTGGCTTGGCTTCTAATTATCATTCCATCCTTACTCAGGCATCCGGAGAATCGAATGCCAGGATTGTTGAACTATCTCACGTCTTGAAAGTGACAGAATATACACAGGATTTCCGTTCGGGTGCGGAGCAGGGGAGGGGGGGGGAGACAAAAAAATTTTTGCGCACCCAGAAAAATTTTTTGATATGCTTTTCAAAAGATTCTCGCGGGCCCACAATTCCAGCCACGCCCCGAAGAAAAAATTTTTATAAGGCTAAATTGAATTTTCAAAAAATTTTAAAAATTATTTTAATTACTTACAAGTATAAACAAGTCACTTGCACATTTTTATAACGCATGTAAGCAGCTTTCAAAAATTTCGCGAGCCATTCTCGGGGGGGGGGCCTCGGTACGCCACTGACTCACCTGTGTATTGCACTCCGACGCCCAGGGTCGCCCCAGCCCAAACTGAGGCGGTGGAACACCGTGAGATGAGCCTGAGCAAAGGTAGCAATTTAGGATTATGTAAAAGTTTGTTTGTGAGTATGCTCCTCATTGCTCCTTATTTTTGGTGATTTACCTTTCAAGAACATAGGAACTACTAATGAGGGGCATTAAGGAAGCTGCACTACCGGTAGTTCTTAGCTCCGAAACCAGATAATGTACAAGGTGGTATCGCTTTCTTGTTATCAATCCATCCTTGCGAAACTCAAAGCAGTTTTACAAGAAAGCATGAGCAAATCAAACAGTACCGCTGCGGGATGATTGTAAAAATTTGCCTGTGGGTATGCTTCTCACTGCTCCATCGATATTTTACGTACGAAGAGCCGATGATCAGACAGATGTAATCTGCTGCAGGAACCCACATACGTGAACAACAACTCATCAAGTGCGTGTGATTATTGGTTCAATAGGTTTTCCTATCATCAACAGCTGGCGTTTATAGCTACAAATATAATAAAATATGAGAACCAGTTTCAAAACCGAGCAGTAAAGGCGGTATACAAGAACCATATAAAAGAACCACTCCCTTGTAAACATGTTTTTCAATTTGAAAATTGCGCTGTAGATAAAGAGCTGTTTGACTAGACCTTGTCTAGTGCACGTAGTACAATGCGTGATAAGCGATGCTCGAGCAGTCTGTAAAAGCCAAAAGGGGACCGAGTGCTTGAAGTTTGCATAAGTCACAATCATCAATAACCAAAACTATTGATAAACTTCATAAAAGTTCAGATCAGCCTCACGGAAAAATTTTTTTGGGTAACGCTACATTTTTGCAGAAAAAATTCTGTTCCTCATTGCAGAACTTCTGGAACCACACACTGCTAGCAGGTGACGGCATCTAGGCTGAAAATCTGAATAACACTAAAATGTTTTTTACATGTTAGTCAGTTTTGAATGTAGGGTAATAGTATAAACCGGCCTACTGAAATAATCTAGCGCCGCGAGAGCAGAGATTACAATCTCACCGAACGCATCCTGTTCTACCTCACCCAACGGCGGTTCCAGAAATTTTTTCAGGAACTGAGAGGGGGGGGGGAACTTTTTGAAAACCAAAAGAAATGAGAACGCCTACGCTCTACTAAAGCCGTCCCAACCTTTCGTTGAACGCAAGGTGCTTGAATTATGTAATTTTTGAATTAAAAAAATTACCTTATATGAAAATAATTCTATCAAACATTCTGGGTTATATTGATAATCATGGCATCGATGGAAATAGCAAAAAACAAAGGAAAAAGTGACAATAGCTTTATTTCAAATGAGCAGCCAAGAAAAAAAGTTGGGGAGCTTTTCTCAGTTTCGTGTCATGTACCTTGGGGAATCTGAGAAAGGGACCCACCACTTTCATAGAATTTTCTCTACAAAATGAAACAATCAGGGATTAGAATCATTCTCTTCAGCTGATACGACAGATACATAGCTAGAAGTACATCTCTTCGGGAAATTTTAAGATGTTTCAAAATCTTGAAATAGCTTTGTAAACTAAATTCTTTTCGGGGCGTGACGGCCACACCCCCTTTTCCCAATTTCGAGGTTAAGCCCACGCAAATCTTGAGAAGCATCACACAAAATATTTGAACTTTATGTCGTCTTCCTCCCCGAAGGAAACTGTCGTCTGCCAATGGTGTTCAGTACACAATCAATGCTTTTTCTGCATCATTGTCTTTATCATAACAAAAAAAATTAACGAATGTGTTTGCTAAAACAGCATAGGTCGATTACGGTGACCACTTTGATTCTGAGTTAGAAGGTTGAGTTCCTCGAAAAAAAGCTCATAGTCGGTCGCAGAATTATTGGAAGTGATCAACCTGAGCAAAAAGTTATTGAGTAATTTGTTCTTGGTACAATCTAGAAACCATGTAAAACTAGCTGGCAAACCCGGCTCCGCCCAGCCCTGTCAATAACATCGTAATCAATATGCTCACTTGCCAGCCCACCCCCCCCCCCCTCCGGCCAACGCTCAGCCTCGAAGGTAAAATTTTGCAAAAAAATCGATGAAATCGATCGATCAATGAAAGAAAGCAGCTTGCGACACTCGCCTCGTCCCGAAGTGTATGTGTGCCAAGTTTGGTCCGGATCGGTCCAGAAATAAAACCACTGGCGGTCCCAGGATTTCCATGTGGAAGAGTGGAGAAAGCGGCAGAGAATTTTTTTCCAAATGAAGGTGTGTTGCGTTAGCCACGCATTCCGAAAAGATTTTTGAGGGTGCTTTTGAGAATTTTTGCGTGCCCGTAACCCTTAAAATCTAGAAAAAGGGGCCGTACCAGTAGCTACGCCTCCAAAAATCTTTTACAAAGCAAAGTTGAGTAAAAAACTTTATAAATTATTTTATTTTGAACTACAAGAATAAACCAGTCACTTCATCCCTATAACTGGTAACAGGGTGCGCCCCACTCCCGCATTTCACCACCGATACATACATACATAAAGGCCATGACGAAGGCGCAGAAGCAGTATTAGCTGAGCGGGCGCGAACGCGACGCGCGCCTATCATTACCGTTATAATCTTGCGCCTCATGCGTTCTGTGGCTAATGAAGCCGCGTTCGCGCCCAAAGATATTGCCTCTTTGTCATGCAGCAACCTATACATACAGACAAGCAAACAAGCAGACATTCAGCTTTTATTCAAACAGATTTTGAAAACCCACGTCAAAATGTATACCAGTTTATTGCAACAAAAAGAAAAGAGTTGGACACTCGAAAAAAACTTACGGTGATGGTAAATACGCAAAACCTAGACTGAAATCTCAAACAATCTCTGACGTCGAAGCGGTAAGATGCCATCACGTGGTTTGAGAAAAACGATCTAATCAGCCCCACGAGCTGAACCGCCTAGGACAGAGGGAATTAGTGTCATATCTGATTATTATAAAAGGCCATACAAGAATTTGAGGCAAAAACAGCGGCACTTTCGTGTAATGACAGCCAGCCTAGCTGCATTCGAATGTTTGCCATTATTTGGGTTTCTATATCCGTCGTTATGCCCACACAAGCAACATTTTTAAAGGAAATACCGGAATTTCTTAAAAGAATAAACTTTGTGCTCGAAGAAGTTTCCAGGATATTTCAGGTAGATGTTACAAAATGCAAAACATGAAATACCAAAGATAGATAAGGCCAAACAATGTCATAAACTCGCTGAGTAGTTGACATACAAGTAGAAGTCACCCAAAAATAGACATTTGAGATTTTTTCTAATTAATCCAGAGCACGTACATCAGTTCATGATTTATTGTCATCTGCCACTGTGAAAGACATAATTTGTTTCATCTGCAAGGAGGGCACGTCAAAAACTTTGCTAGATGAAAAACAAACGGTGCGAGAATCCGTTCGCCGGGGCGGGGTGGGGGGATAAATGGGAGGGGGGGCAAACAAAATTTTTTTCGGCTGAGAGGGAGTGGCATTAACAACAAACTCTAGAAAAAACTAAAAAGTTCCCCACCCTCAGTAGGCCTATGTCGTAAGGCCTGGGTGAATTTTTTCTAAGAAAAATAATAACTTGAATTTCCCAGAATGAAATTATCTTGGGTCTTTCGCAAGAACAAGTTACTTGCATTTTTTACAACTCATGTAAGTATAGAGTTTGGAAAATGCTCTACTTTTTAGGAACTTCTCGCCTTAAAATCTCGATATAAAAAGGTGGAAACTGTCTTTAACATTATTTTAGATTCAGAAGCTCAGAAAGCCTAATAAGTACTTACTACCAGAACCAAGGTACTTTTTCATAACAATGTAGACGAAATTCAAGAATTTTGCGATCCATTTTGAGAAATGGGGCTCTCGCTCCTCCCTCCCCCTCCCCTCCGATGCATTCGCACTGCTGCGAAAATATTGCATCGTTATCCTGCTCACTATATACGGAAAAAGCCTGTAGTCTTAACAAATATATGTGATGAAAAAAAACGTTAAGATTACTTTAGATTTGCTTCTCAAGATAAAAAAAATCTTGATTTTGGAAAAAAAAATTTTTGACCCTTTGGATATGTTGGTAACTTTGTCCCATTTAAGCAGAACCGCATCAACATGAGACAATAAAATTCCAAACATGTTTTTAGACAAATTATCTCAATTGAAGGTGTCCCAATAACAATAAAAACATTTTACAATCATCTATGATTCTTATTGTCACCTGACACTTGTAAATAACTAACCATTATTTTGCAGAAAGAGAAAACTCGCCAGACTACCTTACATTAGCGATTTTCAAGCAATCAGCCGTTATTCGCGGCTCTTGGACCGTCGCCCAGACGATGCGCTCGTCTCGCGCCGAACACAAAGAACGATCACGCCAACGATAGTACAACGCTCGTGCAATGGACCAGAAAGAAGCCTCGCGCCCGTCTGAAACTCCATCAGATTTTGTTCCCATCTTTTTCTTGTGAAAAGCATGAAGTTTTGTTTGATATGTCGTGTTGAGGACAAGAAGGCTATGATTGAAAAATAAAAATTTCAGTAGCATTAGACAGTAAACAACAACGCGGAGACTTTAGTGCTCGCCAAATCCTCCAAACTCAGCAAAACATACACGAGTTCTTATGAAGCCTCTATGGAGCTAGAATCCTTTTACCCAAGAGAATTCTAGAAAACACCCCCCCCCCCCCTCGTTCTTGCACTTCATCAACAAGCATGTGAGCAGGACATCAGAGTACATGGCACTACTTTTCAAGGTTGCCATTAACAGTAGAAAATGGTGATTTATGTTTGTATCAAAATCAATCACATTTCTAGTTTTTACTTACATTCAAACTTCAATAATGATTTGAGGGCGGGTGTCGCAGCTATCTACAGCTATGCTACCCGATAATCACCCTTACAAAAAAACCCCGCCCTCTTCAAATGCTGTAATTTACATCTTTATTCACTTCTAATTAATTCTAAAGTGATTTCTGCGATATATAGCGGATATGCCTGACCGGTGCCCTAGTTGTACAAATAAGAACATAACCAAGACAACAAGAACAGGCAAGTGCAAAAAAAAGCATATAAGACCCATAGCAAATGTACAGAATATGATGCGAGGATAACGAAACATACATATACGCGAACCCCACCCGACCAAATTAGGACCCGAAGCTACAGCATTATCCTGAGGAATGGTTGAGAAAGCGCCAAACGCGATAACCCGCTCTGAGAGATAAAAAAATCATTTTCTAATGGGCATAACGAAAAAAAAAAGAGCTAAAAGAGGGCTACCGCGCCTGAGAGATCGGCACCTTGTGCCCCATCCCGCGTGCAAATCAGGATGAAAACTTAATCACGGGACAGCCTAACCAGATCACCTAAGTAGAGAGAAGGTGGGGTGGGTGCTATACAACTGGTTGTGAGGTCTGGTTATGATCAACGGCAATGCCATTATCTTGTAACATTTTCCTCAACCGCTGGTTCTCCTTCAGCATTCTGGACATATTCTCTTGATAAACTTCTGCATTCTTCTCTTTGTCCAAGATTTCTTTTGTCATCTGAAAGGATTTTCTCTTGCACGCAAATACTACCTATTGGTTTTTCTTAGCATAAAGCCGATAAAAAAATTCACAGGCTTTTTTTCTATTTTTTTTTTACAAATCCTCAACCGTACCTCGTCCTTGCTTAGCCTAGAAAGGCGATCCATTGTGTACTCTTCGAATTCGGCCTCAAACTCTCGATCCATTTCCTTGTCTGTTTCACTGTCTCCACTCGACGAAGCTCCTTCGCTTGCAGCCATAAACTCGCTCGAAACGCTGATGGACCTCACACGCCGCCTTTCGTTCGCTTCATGCGCCAATTCTACCTGAAAAGCGATAAAGGTCAATGAAGTTGCCAAAAATATCGTTTCATTTACAAACCTCCAATCCTTGTCCTGCGCGTGCTTCTCTGTCCTCCAATAGAAACTGCGTAGTATTACTCGGAGCCATAGGTTTTCCACTAGCCATGCTGCAAAAGAGGCATTAATTGTGAATTATGAGAGTAAGCCTAACCTAAAATAGACATAGTCTGAAGCGGACCACGCCCACTTGAGAGAAAAAAAACTTTCAGCCCTTTCTACATCCTCTCACTAGCAAACTTACCGGGGTAGGAGCTTTAGTACTGACTGTACTGCACAAAGTTCATATAATAAAAAAGAAACAGACAAGGGATTCCTAGCGTACAAATCGCTGCACTAACATTCACAGACACAAAAAAAGATGCTTGGACTATGCGCTTTGTATGGCATGTGCATTCAGCTGTTCAGTAGTAAAGATCTTTTCGATGCCTCCAAGTTGTTATACCATTCCGAATGTTGAAAACTAATGACTACTAGCAACCTAAGTATGTATACGAGAACCGAAACTAGAAGAGATAGAACAACATTTACATAGAGAACTGGATGGTCTGAAATACTGACCCTGCAGTAGTGGTACTGTAGCACACAAGTGTTGACTGGAAGTCCAGGAATCATCATCCAATCCATCTTAAACAGGATGAATCAGTGTCTGTGTGCTAATAGAACAGTAATTTTTGGGCAATTTGAGGATTTAGAGAGAGGTTCGCGCACGCGCACACTGGCTACCATAATCCAATTGGACCCCGTAATATCCGACCTAATAGTAGAAGAGAAGAAATTGACAGATTATAGGCAGGATGATGAGAGAAGGAAAAGCAGTGACGAATATGGAGAAAGTATTAGCAAATATAAGTCTTATAGGTTACAACCAACCGTTCTCGTGTCCTACGCTCCGATCTGGCAGTTTCAGCAGCATCGAGCGCCATCTTCTCTTCCGGGCTCAGGGAATGGTACGGCTTGAAGCGATTCTTGTTGGCACGACGTCGACGGGTCTTCCGCCGCTTCTTCTCCAACTCGACGTCGCCATCGGAGACGGACCGTTCATGGTCGTCCGGATGTGCAACGACTGAAGGTATCTCTTTCGATGCCATCCCGAGTGCTTTTCACCTCACGGAGGGCTTTCGAATGAGTACCTACTCGAGTAGAGCCGAATAAGCGTGACCTCTGTGTAGATCACGACGCGTACACCTCAGAAGACACTCGCAGCTGATTCGCGGCACCACACGTCGCAGTGCGGTCACACAACTAGAAAGCCGACCGCACCGCCTCCTCCTTATATACGAAAGCGCGACCGCACGCGCGGACGGCTGACACGCCCGACGTGTGCTGCTGTGCCGAGAGTGAGCGCGCGTCGGGCTTCTCACGCGATTTTCTCTAAAATGAGAGAATTTCTTGAGATGCAAGTTTCTGAATTCTCTTCAGCACCCTCAGCTCTATCCGAAGACACCCAAATTATGCGACACATTCAAATGTTGGTTCTGATCCGCAAACTGCTCGCAACGCTTGGCATTTGCTCGCAGTACCACTACATTCTATGCTTTTCATTTTCTTCACTCGGTTTTCCCTCAGATCCAGTCATTTTCCTATTTGGCAGGGCCGACGTTCAGCGCTGGTCAATATGCGGCAGAGAGCGCGGGTCTAGCGCAAAAGACCGTGCGGATGCCGGAGAGCGGCAGAGAAGCAGCGTGCGAGTTGTTTGCAAGCCCTGGGCCCGGCTCACCGCTTCTTTGTGTGTGTCTCTCTTACTGCAATGAAATAGCATCAAGAGCTTCGTGTATTCAAATACGGTTGCTGTTTATATGATTTTTTGCACAATTTACGATGGGACCGTACATTGATGCTTTTACAAACAATTATTTGAACAGGAGCATATAGAACGCAAAATTATTGTCCGGGTAAAAAATCACGCATTCGTGTCGTAGTTTCGTAGCCTCCAAGCATGAAGAAGTGTAAGTCTCAATGCCTATATTGTCAGATCTACAAAATGTTGGGCAGAAGGGCCAGGATACAGTTTTTTTGATAAAATTCTGTGTCATCGCTATCTGTTTTTCAAAACACTTCTGATTTACTGTCTCGAGCGCCTTTGGAAACGAAGATCTAACCCAGTGATGAGATGCAATCGAAGGCATTGTGGAGTAAGCTAGATTTTAGCTCGTAGTTGTAGCGTCGAGATAAAAGTGTCAGAACTCCCCCTAGGAGCTTCATCAGCTCTTTTCTTACGTACTTGGTAAGTCATAGAAAAATGTGAAGATAATTGTCACAAATGAGTTTAGACGTGGTTTCACCGCTTCTGCCCAAAACCAAGACCTGTGCAAGGTTTGAGAAGGGTAAATTTCGCTTAAAGTAGCCTAAAAATCCACCTATATTATTAGCAAATCCGTTTGTTGGTCCCTCGATAACGAATGTCACCAGGCTGCGCCTCCGATGTTGGCCGGCCGACTCTGCGTGTCTGACCGCTGCGCGCTGCGACTTCACGCGTTCTCTCGCCGGGTGAGTGCTCTACGTCTCCGACATCCGCACGCTATCCGCACCCGACCCCTCGCTCTCTGCGGCTGCTCACATGACTCTCCCGATCCATCTATTCACAATTTCCACCCTCATGTGCGTTATTTACGCCAGAAAGTACGGTGGAACGATTACAACACACGGCAAGTTGGCACGTGGCCAACGACGATGTGTGTTGATGTTATCACTTGGTAGAGACAGCACATCTCGTTAGGAACAGCGTCGCCAGCGAGAGATCTGCTGCAGATGGTAGAGATAACGGTGCTGAATAGTGAAAACCAAGTGCAAATTGCCGTTCGCTCGCGGCTTTTGCTAGTCATTGTTGTGGCGCGGCTGGGAGCCCGTGTTGTGTCGTGAGTTCGTTGTCAGTCCCCGAGATGCCATAGTAAACAATCCTTCTAGCCGATATATACTCAAGAGAAGGGCACCCCACAATCTCTCGGAAATTGCTGTGCTAGTTTTCTTATTTGTCACAGTGCAAAGAGAAGTATTACTCAGACGTTAGAACGCTTCGCATGGGTGATTAACAGGTTAATACTCGTGTTTTCACTTCACAATAAATAATTTACACATGGGAATAGAGGTAGGACAAGTTCGAGCCTGTCAGGGAAAGTAGATTTATATCATTCATTGTGTGGCTAGGATACTCGAGCACGATGTTACACGTGTTATTTGACAAGCTCGGACATGTCTTCACGAATTGCAAGAAGTAGATTATCTTCAAAAAAGAGTTGTTATCAGCCTCATTCATTGGACATACTAAAAAGTCATTTTTCTGTTCTAGAAATATTTGAGAAGGGAATTATCAGGTTGGCTTAAAAATAAGCTCGTTTTGACATACAGTCCCAAGTTATATAACAATTCATGTAACAGTTATTTAGGGGAGATTTTTTTTCGTGAAGGTAGCTACAAACTTATACGTCATTAACATATGATAATTATGCCCTTATATGGCTAGCCTTCTAAAAAATCACTTTTTTGACTTTCTAACCTTCGATCTCAGCCTGTAGTGAGAGTGCACAGATGAGCAAATTGGTGATTGAATACATACAGCCTTTGGCTACATGGCGAACCACAATGGATGTGTTCTGCTGTCTATGAATTTCTGCAGCTAAAAATATGAGGATTCTCAGGCATTTGCCTTGGATGTAGATAGTTTTTGCGAAACCCAGATCGTTTAAATTTGACCATCTACGGCCATGCGGAAAGCTGAAAATTCAGAATTCTATTGTGTAAGTACTAAATTTACAATTTACAGTCAGATTCAGTCCCTTTTTCGGAGCATGTTTTCTGGAAAAATGGGTGGGAAAATCTGGCTATTTCTCCTGCCTGCATCATTCCGTCATGAAGAAATTTTTCTTCATGTACAAAGTACGTCATCCTTCTTGATTTGCTCTAGAAAAGCACCACACATCATACATAAATTAGTTTGTAACATATTTACAAACGTTGAAGACGACCGAACTTATCTATTAGCCAACAATAGTTGTTTTTGCTTCTTCATTAGATAAGGTTAATAATAGTTTCGCACTGATATGTATCAGATTCTCTTTACAAAAGATTAATGAATGAATGAGGCATTACTCTACTATTGAACATAGAATCACACATCCCTACGTCTGAAATGTATACTATAGGAAAAAAAGACATATACTATGAACTAGTTAGACGTACGCATAGCGTTCTCAACTATCTTAGTCACAGAATGGAAAATTAGCGTTTTCGGGTGGTGGCACTTTATTTTCTTCTCCCGAGTTTGACATCTACATTGTCACAGATAGGTGTTTCGTGCAAAAACGTACCCCCCCCCCCCCCCCCCCGACCCCTCTTCAGCGAAAGAACTTATCTAAGCCCTTACGTACTCTGCAGTGCCGTCGTTCTATTGCGCGTAAACATCGCTTATCAGCCGCCGCACTGGCCGAGCGCACCATGTGCGAATCGACAACTTTTTATTTTCACGCTCACTGTCACCTGCAATGTGGAGTGTCGCTGTGTGACCAGCCAGCAGCAGGTAACTGTGCACATCGTCTCTGTATATAAATGTGGGAGGAGACGGACGACTCGAGGAAATCCTGCTTGCGGAGCGGCGGCGCGGCGTCGCGCGCGGAGGGCGAATACGTCATTGCTGCACTCGACGGCGTTGGAGGATGCCGGCAAAGAGGCAAAATGAACCCAACATGGAGAGTCATACGCTAATTGCACTTCGGAAGCTCTAGATGGGATTTAAGCTTATACAAATATTATTTCGAGGTTTTTCGGAAGTTGCCTAGGAGTGGCCCAGGGGAAAAATTCTCTAATTTTGTGAAAAGGTTCATTTTAACAAGATCGAGGCACTTTCTTGTATGTTTAGATTCAAATGGGAAGCAGTTGAATCGAATGATGTCTCATCTATCAGTTCCGCTTCTTTGATCCTTGAAATACCAAGTGATTCTCAGATGTACGTGTAAGTGTGAAGATCGCAAAAAAGGATCTATGCATTGTTTTATTTCTTAGCGCAACAATTCGGTCTACATGCAATGTATAACATGTTGTTCGCTAATATTGCATAGTTAATAGCAGCTGATATCCGATTGATGCTATGGATAGTAGGTGCACGAGTAACTTTTTACAAGTCCAGGAAAAATCTCAGATTTCTATACGACTTATCTTTGGACCATCGCATGTGTGTTGCAAAAACAAAAAACTCAGTAAAATTACTATGGGGGCGATTAATCATGCAAATTAATTTAATAATCAATTATTTCATTAAAATATTTTAGACATAATTTTTGCTATGAACAGATTACCACCACTGGCGGACCGAGGCCCCCCCCCTTCCTCAGAACGAGTCGCTAAATTTTTGAAATTTACTTACATCTATAATAATGTGCAAGTGACTTGTTTAATCTTGAACTAAACATTTTTTGAAAATTTTCGAAGTCAATTGACCTCATGAAAATTTTTTCGGGGCATGGCTACCGTCACGCCCCTTCCTCTAAAATTCCGGAGGTTACGGGCCCGCATCAATTTTAGGCATCTCAAAAATCTTCCGGTGTGCATGCATTTCATTCAAAGAAAATTTTCGTCGCGCCCCTTCCTAGAACGGAAATCTTGGGCCAGCCACTGGTATTTACATAATATCAATGGATATTATGGATATTATGGATATTTATTTTGATGCTACAAATAGATAGTGCAGTGTTTTTGAGTAACTCGTTTTGATACAAGTCCAGACAAGTCTCCAGGCTTCGAGTGTAAAAGATAAAAATCACGCTCCATAAATTTTGCAGCAAAATTTTGGAGATATTAGGTTGGTGCAGAAGTAATGCGCGTTTTTCTAGCCCTTGTTTCAAGATAGCTTTTCTCCATCGAAGTTTCTCCTATGAAACTTACCCAGCATATTATCAAAAAGCTTCTTTCATGCTCTATTCAATAGTGGTTAAAAGAAGCTCCTAGCCTCATTCTTTAAAAATTTATAGAGCTTCATACAACCGTACTCAAAACCAGAATTTCACTGCACTTACTTTTTCGGCCAGAATTCAAGCGCGAGTAAAGGCATTCTTTTGAAATTTTAAATACTGTATGTAGTAGAAATTTTCTACGTTATGCATGCTTTACTGTTTTTCTAGAAATTACTTAGACTGAGATCCCGGCGCCTCAACATGAGTGATGGTTTTGGCCATTGTGGCCCATAGATTTTCTTTGAAGGTAATCGCCAGGGTTTTGCTCATTTCTGTAAGCGTAAGGATGAACCTCTAGTTGACAGTTTTTGCAGAAATGCGGAAGCTGTTCAGTACACAGAAAATCAAAATTCTCTCCATATTTCGGGATTTGAGGGCTACAAAAAATGCGGAAAGAGCGGAAAATTTTGAATATTATTTTTTTCCTTTTCGCAAATACTCTTTATTTGAGCCCTTCGGTACGTTTTTGTACTACTGGCTTGCGGCTACAAGACAGTCAACTTATTATTTATACCGACAAATCTTGAGGGAAGTTATGATTAGTTAAGAACGAGGTTTCCCAAAATAAATTTTCTTGCTTATCAATCCATATTTTTCCACCGATTTGCGAAGTTAACCTAAGGCAACGTGTGCTGTATAGAGAAAGGTTTGGTACCTCTGAAAAAGTTTGCCGCACTGAAAAATATGGATTTTTCAGAAAGTTATAGCACTTCAAAGTGAGAACTAGCAAAACGCGCATTACTTTTGCACCAACCTAATACTTCGGTAATGTTTGAGGAGACCACACGATTTCTATTACATACTGTGTTATGTATAACAAATATTGTCAAACAATTGAGAAATTTCATTATAACCCAACTGAGAAAAAAATTCATGACTTTTGGTTGTCCATTAGCACAAGCTTTTTTTTTTATCGTGAGTTAGAATGTGTGCGTCACAAAATATTAAGCCAAATCTTATTGCGCTTTCCAGTACTACTAAAACCAGAATAATACTTTTGGTGCTCCCATGTCGTTGGGATTTCTTTTTAGTGCAGCTCACTGCCGATTTTATTCTTTGCCAACAATACTTTTGCACTGAACCTCCCCAACCTGATGACTCACTCTCAATAGATTCCAGCCCAGGATAATTATTAATAAATGGAGGAATTCACGAATCTTGAGAAATGCGATGCAAAATTGTTGGGCAACTCAAAAAAATATAATCCCGCTCCTCCGAAAAATGCAAAATTTTTTGAAAAAGCCTATAACTTATAAATTGTGCAACTGACATGTTCTGGAAGTAACCGAATTTTTTGACTCTTTCAAATCAAATTAGCTTCTTTGAAAATTTGTGGGATTCGTGGCTATTGCCACACCCTCTCCTCCTCATCCGCCCGCATCACAGTGGCGGTCCCAGAACTTCCGTCCGGGGCGAGGGGGGGGGGGAAGGCAGCAAAAAATTTCCTCAAATCAAGGTGCATGACATTAGCCACGCATTCCGAAAAAAATTTTTGGGGTGCTTCTCAAAATTTTGCGTGTCCATCTTAACGTCTAGAAAAGGAGGCGTGGAGGAGGCCACGATCTCAAGAAAAAATTTTTTTTTCACAGGGGCAATTTGGATTTTCAAAAAATTGAAAAAAATTATCTCAATAATTTGAATAAATAATAAATAGGTCACTTGCACATTTTTCTAATCCATGTAAGTGAATCCTGAGAATTTCGCTACCCACTCTCGGGGAACGGCGACGCCCCTCCCTCCCCGCCCCCCTCGGTCCGCCACTGTCGCGTCACAATGTAAATTGCGGTATCGTATGTCCACGAAAATCTAGAGATGATCAAAATATTTCTCGATTTCTCGACGTGGCTAATGCTACGCCCACACATTCGAAACATTTCTGTGGCTCCTCCAAGACTTACAATCTTCCGTGGTTTTATTATGCTATTTCCTTTTCGCAGAGTGCTGTGTCTAGGAATCTAACGTTATTGAAGCACCCTGTAACTAAACAAAATAATTATGAACTTTTGGTGATTCGAGAGGGGATTTAATTTCTTCTCCCCATGGAGTGTGAAAATGCAGTGCATGTTGCCAATAATGAGTTTCTGAATTGAATAGAAATTGGATTTCTATTTATTGAAAACAAAAGAGGTAACTCGAATAAATTATAGTAGTGATTTCTATGGGGGGAGGGGGCTAGATCACTACTTGCATCTAACCCTGTTGATTCACTACGATGCAGGTCGAATCTACTCTCCCTTACCAAGTTTTTCGCTTCGAAGACGTCCTTGCGCTTCCAGTGCATTAATATTCAGGATACTGAGTAACGATTGCGTTCGCTATTTGCCTTTCAGCCGAATGTGTGAAGAATGCGGCTACGTAATGCTTGTAGACTGGCAAACGTCATTACAACACAACTAAACCCTTGTTTGGGATACGATGTATGGATCATGGTTGAATAATTTATTTATGTCCTTTTTAGGTGAAACTTATGACTATGACTGCGTGATTGCTGAATTGTTACATAAGTTCTTTTCAGTTTAAGAATGTTTTGCTAAATTTACTTGTTTGCATGAGTCTCGTTTTTTTGTTGATAGACCGAAGCAAGGCCTTATGGTTATCAGTCCTCTACAGGAATCGCGACTGCGTGGAGTTCCAGAACAAATCAAATTTTTTCTGCTAAAAATTCGGATCTCACGTTCGAAAAATTCCTGTGAACCACCTTCCATCTACTTATACGCATACTTGATGCATTTAATCTTCACACCTTTCTTGCATTCTATAAATGAAAAATGTTGGATAAGGATGGCAAACCCCGCCCCTATGGCAAACTCCACCCCCAGAAATCTCGGTTCCCCCCACATATTTCCTAACTCATGCACTCAAAAGCGAAGTGATAAATTTACTCACTTATGTGTCTTGGTCCTTAAAAATCACCAAATTTGGTAGTCGATTTTGAAATAATGAAATGACCAAAGAAATATACATTTGTTTTCTAACGTACAAAAGTTGATGTGTAAAAGTTATGTAATCGAGTGAATATATTAGTCCTGGTTTTGATCAGGAACTTCTGTCAATGGTTTTTTCTTTTCATTTGCAATTCTAATCTCATTTTTTTGCAAGAGCAGCCTTTGAACTATAGACGTTTTTTTTCTGCTGTTGTATAGCGGGAAATTCTATAATTACCCTATTGAATTTTTCCCGCGAATAATTGTAAGCGTAAATCTTCACCTGCTTTTATCGACCTGGAAAAAAACCTTTCGATTAGCAGCATCATATAAAACATCTTTGGGAAACACTGAGTATCCAATATTACTCTCAGAACTTTTTTGTTTTGTAGTGCCCTACTTTTTCCTTCTGCTTTCACTTATTCTCCCTTCGGTGGTTACTTAATTACGAAGTGCATTCTATTCGTTTACTATTAGGTAAGCTGAAAAATAAGTTTGATCATTTTTAGCGGTTTGTAGGATTGTCACGATCAGTTTTGGTGTGTTATACATATATGGTACCATTAT